AGCCACAGCAGCCTCGACCTTGGGCTCTGGCGATCCCTCTGCCTCAGCTTTCCAAGGAGCTGGAACTATAGGCATGCACTACCACGCCCAGCTAATTTTTTGTTTATTGTAGAGATGAGGTCTCTCCAAGTTGCCCAGGTGAGTCTCAAACCCGTGGACTCAGGCAGTCCAGTCACCTTGGCCTCCCAAAGTGCTGGGATTACAGGCTGAGCCACCGAGCCTGGCCCCAAAATTACTCTTAAACAGATTGAGACAACACAATTTATGAGGTGCTGTTTCATTGCCTTTTATTTCTTCTCCTGTTATCTTTTCTCATTCAAAGTAAAAAAAAAAAAAAAAGAGTCCTTCCTTATAAATTTAGACAGTTGAAAATGTATTTTTCTGCAGAGCAGTTATCAGAGTTGATATTTTACCTGAAAATATTGTTCATCTTTTTTTTTTTTTTTTGAGTTGGAGTCTCACTCTATCACCCAGACTGGAGTGCAGTGGCTGCTCCTGGCCACCGCAGCCTCGACCTGCTGGGCTCTGGCGATCCTTCCGCCTCAGCCTTCTAAGTAGCTGGAACTACAGGCGCATGCTACCACGCCCAGCTAATTTTTGATTTATTGTAGAGATGAAGTCTCGCCAAGTTGCCCAGGCGGGTCTTGAACCTGTGGGCTCAGGCAATCCATGTTCATCTTTTAAGAAGGGTACTAGCAAACATGTTTATGTATCAGCCTGATACTTACCTTAAAATGTTGTTTACTTTTCTAGCAACAACCTTTACGACCCAATTTAGTGGAAACTAGTTGTCCCAACATACGGATGGATCCAAAATTATGCCCTGCTGATCCAGACTGGATTGCTTTTATACATAGCAATGATATTTGGATATCCAACATTGTAACCAGAGAAGAAAGGAGGCTCACTTATGTGCACAATGGTAAGGCATAGTTCTTCAGATCTACTTTTATGAAGAGTATTTTTTAAGTAATCAAGTCTTTCAAAAAACAGTGAAAAATACGGAAGAATATTGGTATGTACCATCTGTATAATACTGGTACATTATACAGATGCTTGTTGTTTTTTTGTTTTTGTTTTTGTTTTTTTGAGTTGGAGTCTCACTCTGTCACCCAGACTGGAGTGCAATGGCTACTCACGGCTACTGCAGCCTCGACCTGCTGGGCTCCAGCGATCCTTCCACCTCAGCCTTCCAAGTAGCTGGAATTACAGTCATGCACTACTATGCCTGGCTAATTTTTTGATTTATTGTAGATATGAGATCTCGCCAAGTTGACCAGGCGGGTCTCGAACCTAAGGGCTCAGGCAATCCACTCACCTCAGCCCCCAAAGCGCGGGATTACAGGCTGAGCCACCGAGCATGACTCAGATACTTTTTTTAATGTTCATTTTCAAACAGTACAATAATAGCATCTCTTATATGATTGTTTTGTTTTGTTTGGGTCAAAGTCAAAGACTCACTCTGGTACCCAGACTGAAGTGCAATGTCACAGATCACAGCTCACTGCAGCCTTAACTTCCAGGGCTCAGGCCATCCTTCCATCTCAGTCTCCCAAGTAGCTGGGACTATAGGCATGCACAACCATATTCGGCTAATTTTCTGGGTTTTTGTAGAGACGGGGTCTTTTTTTATTTTTTTTTTTGAGTTGGAGTCTCACTCGGTCACCCAGACTGGAGTGCAGTGGCCGCTCCCGGCCACCGCAGCCTCGACCTGCTGGGCTCTGGCAATCCTTCCGCCTCAGCCTTCCAAGTGGCCGGAATTACAGGCATGCACTACCACGCCCGGCTGATTTTTTGATTTCTTGTAGAGATGAGGTCTCACTGCCCAGGCGGGTCTCCAGCCCGTGGGCTCAGGCAATCCACTCACCTCAGCCTCCCAAAGGCACGGGATTACAGGCTGAGCCACCGAGCCCGGCTGAGACAGGGTCTTACTGTGTTGCCTATGCTGTTGTTTAACCCCTGGACTCAAGCAGTCCTCTTGCTCCAGTCTCCCAAAGTGCTGGGATTACAGGTACGAGCCACCATGCCAGGCCTGCATGAGAAAGTCTTAAAGTAAAAGATAGTATGTTTTGTGAGAAGTTAGGCAACTTGGTGGTTGAAAAACATAAGATTTGAGTCAAGAAGTAGCAGAAGGATGGCAGATAAGAAGGGCCAGGACAAGAGTGTATTGGAAATGAGCATGTACTTTGTCATAATATGGGGCCCACTGAAAAGCTTTTTAGCAGTTGAGTGGTTGCAGATAAATGATTCTGAATACTCTGTGAAAGTTGCATTTGAGAAGCACAAGACTAGAGACAGGGACACCAAAGTTTGACTTGTAATTTGCAAGTTACATGGCCTCCAACTAAAGCATAGACTAGAGAAAAGGCAGTGGAATTGGGAAAATCTTAAGTAAAAAGTATAGGTTTAATGGGTCTCTCTTCGAAGTCAGGAAATCAGAACAGCTACGAATGGCAGTAGAAAGACTAGGTTGGTAGTTAGTAAATCTTTTGGAAATCCTAGTCATTTTTTCATGCTTTCAACCAACATTAGACATTCACTGTGTACCAGTTATTTTACTTGAGACTGGGACTACAAAGCTCTGACATAATTGTCACTTTTTTTGTATTTTTTTCTTCTGAGAAATTGTTTTCCACACAGGTTTTATGAAGATTGGCAGAATTTAAAATAGAAAGCACTGGAACCCTGTAGGTTGTTATAGCATTATTTTTATTCCTTATTGTGCATGTAGGTATGTGGTATGTTTTCAGGATTAGTTAGTGGTTAAGGATATAGTTAGAAAATATAGAATAGCTGGGCTCGGTGGCTCAGCCTGTAATCCTGCGCCTTTGGGAGGCTGAGGTGAGTGGATTGCCTGAGTCTGCGGGTTCGAGACCTGCCCGGGCAACTTGGTAAGACCTCATCTCTACAATAAATCAAAAATTAGCCGGGCGTGGTAGCGCGCGCCTATGGCTCCAGCTACTTAGAAGGCTGAGGCAGAAGGATCGCCGGAGCCCAGCAGGTCGAGGCTGCACTCCAGTCTGGGTGACACAGTGAGATTCCAACTCAAAAAAAAAGAAAATATAGAATAATATAGAATTAGACTATCTGGGTTTGAGTCCCAGTTCTACCATTTATTATAAATTCTGTGACCTTGAGCAAGTTATTTAACCTATCTCTTAGTTTCCACATCTGTAAAAATGTTTTGTTTTGTTTTGTTTTGAATTGGAGTCTCACTCTGTCACCCAGGCTGGAGTATAGTAGCAGACTCATGACTATTGCAGCCTTGACCTACTAGGCACAATCCTTCGCCTCAGCCTTCCAAATAGCTGGAACTCCAGGTGCCGTCTACCACACCTGACTGATTTTTTTTATGTATTGTGGAGACAAGGTCTTGCCAAGTTACCTAGGCTTGGTCTCGAACCTCTGAGCTCAGGTAGTCCTCTAGACTTAGCCTCCCAAAGTGCTGGGATTACAGGCATGAGCCACTGCGCCCTTTCTCCACCTCTGTAGAAATGTTAATAGCACATCAACATGAGGTTTTAATGAGTTAAGATTTATGAAGTATTTAGGACAGTGCTTGAAACATGACAAGTACTACATAAGTGTTTTTTTAGATAGAAAGATAGGTAGGGAGTGAGCATCACAACTTATTCCACTTATCCATAATGAATTTCTACATGAAAGTACACTTTAGATGGGTTTAGTCAATCAGCATGTGCATGTATTTATTCTCTGCGTAGCATATTGAGGAATTTAAAAGCAATAAAATTCTAGCTTTTACTCTCAGATGCTTGTCTTGTTTTTTGTTTGTTTGTTTGTTTGTTTTTTGAATTGGTGTCTCACTCTGTTGCCCAGGCTGGAGTGCAGTGGCACACTCACAGCCACCACTGCCTCGACCTGCTGGGCTCAGATGATCTTCCCGCTTCAGCCTTCCAAGTAACTGGAACCACAGAGGCAAGCCAGTTTGCCCAGCTAATTTTTCTTGATTCATTGTAGAAAAGAGGTCTCACCAAGTTGCCCAGGCTGGTCTTGAACCCATGGGCTCAGGCAGCCCTCTCACCTCATCCTCCCAAAGGGCTGGGATTATAGGCGTGCACCACTCCTCGCCTCAAATGCTTATCTTATTGGGAGGGCAAGATGATACCATTATTCATTTAGTGAATAACTTAATAACTGAGTTCTGTAAGTGTTGAGGACATAAAAGTGAGTGGTATCTATCTTTATATCTGAAGGATAACAAAATATAAAATAGGATGGGGGTATAATTGTGGGTTAAACGATCCAAGACAACTGAGCACTGGTCTTGGCTCTATCATTAATACCAAAGTTGAAAACACTCTGAAAACTGAACTTAGTTTTCATTAACTTGGTGCTGAAACTCATTTGGCAGTCAGACCTGACCTGACCTGAACTGAACTGACCTGAGGATATTTATAACCTTAATCCTACTTACTGTGCCTGTTCACAAATTTGCTGCAGAAATATTGGTGTATTTGATTGCAAGATATTTGGTTACCCTGCTGGAAATGTTATGTAATATATGGTAGATGTATAGTATATGAAAAATCCCCCAAATTAAGAATTCCAAATACTTCTGGACCCAAAATTTTTGAGTAAGTGATCATTGGTTTAGCTAATATGGAAAATGTCAGATAATATGGAAAATACAGACAAGCAAAAATAAAGAATTAAAACTTGCCTATAAAATTAAAATCACCATTAGATAATTGTAACACACCCACTAGACTGGCCAATGGGAAAAAGATCAAGAATACCTAATGATGGAGAGGAACTTTAAAACATTGCTGGTAAGAGTATAAAATAATATAAATACTCTGGAAAACTGGCAGTTTCTAATAAAGTTAAACTTATACTTACTGTATTATTCATCCATTCCACTTCTGAATACTTAAGAATAATGAAAATATGTATCCACAAAATTCTTTTTTTTAATTTGAGTCAGAGTCTCAACTGTCGCCCAGATTGGAGTACAGTGGCATACTCAACTACTGCAGCTTCGACCTGCTGGGCTCAGGTGATTCTCAGCCTTCCAAATAGCTGGAATTACGGGTGCAGGCCACCATACCCAGCTAGTTTTTTTGTTTTTAATTGTAAAGATGAGGTCTTAACAAGTTGTCTAGGCTGGTCTTGAAACCTGGGCTCAGACAGTCCTCTCATCTCTGCCTCCCAAAGTGCTGGGATTTCGTGCGTGAGCCACTGCGCCTGGCCACAAAATTCTTACACAAGAATGTACATAGCATCTTAATTTATAAAAGCCAAATACTGGAAGCAGCCCAGATGTCCACAGAACTGTTGGCTACAATGAAATACTTCTCAGCATTAAACAGGAATGAATTGACATATGTAACAATGAATTAATCTCAAAAACGACACCAAAGTATATACTGTATGATTTATTTATATAGTAGATTTCACAACTCATTTAGGTGAAATCTAGACTGTGTGACATGTTGGCTCATACCTGTAATGTCACCACTTTGAGAAGCCAAGGCAGAAGGATTGATTGAACCCAGGAGTTCAAGACCAGTCTAGGAAACATATCCAGACCTCATCTCTTCAAAAAATCAAAACATTTTCCAGTGTAGTGGTGCATGGAGGCTGAGGCAGAGGGATCACCTGAGTCCTGAAGGTGAAGACTACGGTGAACCTTGATTGTGTCAGTGTACTCCAGCCTGGGTGAGAGAGTGAGACCCGACTCAAAAAATAATAATAAGCAGTATACTTATGAATTTGTAAATTATAAACCAGTCTTAAAACTTATTCATCTCATTACTTGAAGATTTTAATTTTCTTTTTTTTTTTTGAGTTGGAGTCTCATTCTGTCGCCCAGACTGGAGTGCAGCCCAGCCTCGACCTGCTGGGCTCCAGCGATGCTTCCGCCTCAGCCTTCCAAGTAACTGGAGTTATAGACATGCACTACCACGCCCGGCTGATTTTTTGATTTATTGTAGAGATGAGGTCTCGCTGCCCAGGCGGGTCTCGAACCCACTCACCTCAGCCTCCCAAAGGCGCGGGATTATAGGCTGAGCCACTGAGCCCGGCAAAGATTTTAATTTATAACTCAGTACTCTTTATTTTTTATTTTTATTTATTTATTTATTTTGAGTTGGAGTCTCACTCCGTCGCCCAGACTGGAGTGCAGTGGCCGCTCCTGGCCACCACAGCCTCGACCTGCTGGGCTCTGGCGATCCTTCCACCTCAGCCTTCCAAGTAGCTGGAACTACAGGCACGCACTACCACACCCGGCTAATTTTTTGATTTATTGTAGAGATGAGGTCTTGCCAAGTTGCCCAGGCGGGTTTCGAACCCGCGGGCTCAGGCAATCCACTCACCTTAGCCTCCCAAGGTGCGGGATTACAGGCTGAACTACCAAGCCCAGCTATTTTTATTTTTTAGAGATAGGGTTTCACTCACTCTGTCACCCAGGCTGGAGTGCATTAGTATGATCAAAGCTCGCTGCAGCCTTGAACTCATAGACCCAACTATTCATCTTACCTCAGCCATCTGAATAGCTGGGACTATAAGCACACACTGTGTATTAGCATACACACATACTGGCTAATTTTAAAAATTTTTTGTAGAGATAAAATCTCCCTGTGTTGCCCAGGCTAGTCGCCAATTCTAAGCCTGAGGCAGTCCTCCTGCCTCAGTCTCCTAAAGTGCTGGGTTACAGGTATGAGTTACCATGTTCAGCCATCTCAGCACTTTTTAAAAAATGTGCTTGTAGGCCAGGCATGGTGGCTCATACCTATAATCCTAGCACATCCTGGTTTCAAGACCAGCCTGGGCAACTTGGCAAGACCTTATCTCTACAACAAATAAATAATAATAAAAAAAGTTAGCTGGGTGTGGTGATACATGCCTGTAGTTCCAGCTACGTGGAAGGCTGAGGTGGAAGGATTACCTGAGCCCAGTAGGCTGAGGCTGCAGTCGCTGTGAGCGTGCCGCTGCACTCCAGCCTGGGCAACAGAGTGAGACTCCAACTCAAAAATAGATAAATAAATAAAATAGGCCAGGCTTGGTGGCTCAGTCTGTAATCCCAGCACTTTGGGAGGCCGAGGTGAGTGGATTGCCTGAGTCCGTGGGTTTGAGACCTACCCGGGCAACTTGGCAAGACTTTGTTTCTACAATAAATCAAAAAAATTAGCCAGGCATGGTAGCATACCTGTAGTTCAGCTAATTGGAAGACTGAAGCTGGAAGGATCGCCAGAACCCAGCAGGTCGACGCTGGGGTGGTGGTGAGTGTGCCACTGCACTCCTGCCTGGACAATGGAGTGAGACTCCAACTAAAAATCAAAATTTTTTTTAAAAATAAATAAAAATAAAAATGTGCTTATGTAACATTTTAATAAATAGAATCACAGTATACCTGCTATTTAATAATGTATCTTCTTTTATTTAAGTGTATTGCAAACATTTTTCCATGATATAATATTTTTTATAATTTTGGATTTGTGATCGTGCCCTTTTTTTTTTTTTGAGTTGGAGTCTCTGTCGCCCAGACTGGATTGCAGTGGCCACTCCCAGCCACCGCAGCCTCGACCTGCTGGGCTCCAGTGATCCTTCCACCTCAGCCTTCCAAGTAGCTGGAACTACAGGTGCGCTCTACCACTTCCAGCTAATTTTTTTTTTTATTTATTGCAGAGATGAGGCCTCGCCAAGTTGCCCAGGGGGGTCTCGAACTCGCAGGCTTAGGCAGTTCACTCACCTCAGCCTCCCAAAGCGTGGGATTACAGGCTGAGCCACCAAGGCCGGCTTGGTTTTTCTTGAGGAAGAATCTCACTCTATTGCCAAGGCTGGAGTGCAGTGGCATGCTCATGGCCACTGTAGCCTCAATCTGCTGGTCTCTGGCAATACTTCCACCTTAGCCTTCCAAGTAACTGGAACCACAGGTGTGTACCACCATGCCTGGCTAATTTTTTGATATACTGTAGAGATAAGGTCTTTCCAAATTGCCCAGACTGGTCTCAAACCCCTGGGACTCAGGCAGTCCTTTTGCCTCTGCCTGCAAAGTGCTGGGATTACAGGTATGCGCCACCATGCCTGGCTTGTGATTTTGTTTTATTTTTATTTTTTATTTTTTTGAGTTGGAGTCTCACTCTTGCCCAGACTAGAGTGCAGTGGCATGCTCCCAGCCATTGCAGCCTCGACCTCCTGGACTCCAACAATCCTTCTGCCTCAGCCTTCCAAGTAGCCGGAACTACAGACGCATGCTATCACACCCAGCTATTTTTTTATTTATTGTAGAGACGAGGTCTTGCCAAGTTGCCCGGGTGGGTCTCAAACCCGCAGACTCAGGCAATCCATTCACCTCGGCCTCCCAAAGTGCTGGGATTACAGGCTGAGCCACCAAACCCAGCTGTGATTTTGTTTTAAAGCATGAGTTCCCAGGCTGGCACAATGGCTCATGCCTGTAATCCCAGCACTTTGGAAGGCCAAGGTGGGAGGATTATTGGAGGCCAGCCATAGGCAGCATAGCAAGACCTTATCTCTACAACAAATAAAAAAAAGTTATCTGCACATGGTGGTGCATGCCTGTAGTTTTAGCTACTCAGGAGGCTGAGTTGGGAAGACCACCTAAACCCAGGAGGTTGAGGCTATGATTATCATGCTACTGTACTCGAGCCTGGGCAACAGAGTAAGTCACCGACTCAAAAAAAAAAAGCAAACATTCCCTTTAAAACTATTTGCTGGAGCCAGGCTCAGTGGCTTAACCTGTAATCTCAGCACTTTGGGAGGCTGAAGTGAGTGGATTGCCTGAGCCTGCGGGTTCGAGATCTGCCTGGGCAACTTAGTGAGACCTCATTTCTACAATAAAATGAAAAAAGTTAACCGAGCGTGGTAGCTCACGCCTGTAGTTCCAGCTATTTGGAAGGCTAAGGCAAAAGGATCACCAGAGCCCAGCAGGTCGAGGCTGTGGTGGCCGGGAGCAGCCACTGCACTCCAGTCTGGGTGACAAAGGGAGACTCCTACTCAAAACAAACAAACAAACAAACAAACAAAAACTATTTGCTGGAAACCTAAGTGAAAACATGAAAGCTTAGGTGCTCTGGTTGAATGGGAGGAAGGAAGAATATCTGAATTATGTGACCCATAAGACTTTCTAGGTCTAAAGATGTATTTCTTTATGTAGGAGAGACTTGTAACTCCCACCATGTGTTCTTTTCTTTCCCCAATCCTAGCTAAATGGGAAAATAATAACCAACATTTATATGGAGCATGTACTGTAGCTCAGGCTTTGTTCTAAGTGTTATATGTGAATTAACTCGTTAACTAATTTGTTTTATGTGATTAACCTTACAAGGTAGGCACTTGTGCCCAGTTTCAAAGGGGATACTGCAGTGGAGTGAGACAGGATAATTTGCACAAGGTCAGGCAGTAGGTAAACGATGGAGTCTAGATTTGAACTCAGTCTATTTGTTTTTTGTTTGTTTTTATTGTTTTTTGAGTCAGAGTCTCTTTTGCCCAGACTGGAGTACAGTGGTACATTCATCGCTACCGCAGTCTCGACCTGCAGGCTCAGATGATCCTTCCACCTCAGCCTTCCAAGTAGCTAGAATTACAGGCACATGCCACCACACCTGGCTAATTTTTTTATTTATTATGGAGATGAAGTCTTACCAATTTGCCCAAGCTGGTGTTGAACCCCTGGGCACAGGCAGTCCTCTAGCCTCTACCTCCCAAAGTGCTGGGATTGTAGACATGAGCCACCATGTCTGGTGCTGAACTCAGTCTGTTTCGCTCCAGAGTTCACCACTACTCCAGCTACCTTTAAAAATAAACTGAGTCATTTTGCTTAGTACCTGTGCAAGATAGAGATATTTCTATGATAATGCTGCCTTTTTTATTTGTCTAGAATTAGCCAACATGGAAGAGGATCCCAGATCAGCTGGAGTTGCTACGTTTGTTCTTCAAGAAGAATTTGACAGATATTCTGGCTATTGGTGGTGTCCAAAAGCTGAAACAAGTAAGAAAGTTCAAAGTAATATCTTATAGATCAATTAAAGTATCATACAGTTCAACTGTCAATTAGTTAAGTGCATAGATTCTAAATCTTGGATGGTAGATTCTATAGTGATAAAGATTGGATCCTGCCAGTACTTATTTAGAATATATAGACAATATCTCAACATACTGAAGTCTGGTAAAAACAATTGTATTGTGGTTTAATGCCTCAGGTTTCTCAATTCTCTTTGCCGGTTTTTTACCTGGAAATGAGTCTTGGTATGTTGGCAATATTAGCAGCAAAAATTTTTTAAAAACTGCACCTTAATGGGGTGCTGTAAAAGTGTGTGACTGACTAGTAACTGTATGAGCAGAGGACCAAATCAGTGTATGATCAATTCACAAGTATCTCTGTCTAAGAAACAGCTCTCTAAAGTGTGACTTTCAAACTTCTACATCATGATCCAGTTACAGATTTGCTTATAATTGAGGCCTAACACATTGTACATATATAGATATATCTGAAAACAGATTTCAGGAAACATTGTTTATTCTTATATGTAATACCCTCTGATGCTGTTATTCTTCTCTGTTTGTTGTATTTTCTTTATTGCTGATTATTACCCATTAATAGATTTTGTGGCCCACTAATGTTTGCAGCTGACAGTTTGAACACTTCTCTAAGAAACTATGAAAAATACTTATTTTTAAGCCATATTTTAGATTTAGACATTTTAAGATATAAAATATTTTGCTATAGCTGTATTTGTTAGAAGTAGATTTTTGACATGAATAGAGAAACCATTTAAAACAATTGGACTCTATTTAAATAGAATTTATGCTTTTTAATAGGAAGTATTATAAATGCATTTCATTCCTTTTCAACAAAGAATGCATTTTATGGTATGTAAGGACAGAGTCCTTCAAAAGAGTTTTTTTTTCTGTTTTAAAAACATATATACATATTATCTTTAGTTTTTCCTTCAAAAGGAGTAACCTTTAATCAGTAAGAGTGGCTTAGCAGTAACTCATCTTGCTACTACAAAGACTAGTGATATTTTCATACATAAAAGGCCACACATCTTATACATAAATTATTTTTCACTCTTCAGAAATCTAATACTAGAGGAGATGGTCAATTATACTCTCTGGAATAATTAAAAAAAATTTTAATTCCTTTTAAGCTCCCAGTGGTGGTAAAATTCTTAGAATTTTATATGAAGAAAATGATGAATCCGAGGTGGAAATTATTCATGTTACATCCCCTATGTTGGAAACAAGGAGGGCAGATTCATTCCGTTATCCTAAAACAGGTACTATATAAGCATTTATATCTACTCATTTCCTCCTTCCAAATAAGATTTTTTTCTGTAATCATCCAAAGGTATAGTCAACATTGGTCATTTACAGCCTTAGTAAGAATGGGTTGTTCATTAAGTGTCACAGAAATGGATTGTGAATTAAAGGCTAGTTCTTTTAAATTATTTTCAAAGATAGTCATGTCCACAAAACTGTTTACTTCAAGGAATGAATGAAAAGGTTTCTTTGCTAGCAAATAAAGGTCTTTAAGAGATGTTGTTCATAATAAATTAGTAATTTTTTTCTACTTTGCTATATACATCATTTCAACTGTAAAAATGGTTCACAACTTTACTTCTTTCTTTCTTTTTTTTTTTGAGTCGCGGTCTCACTGTCACCCATGCTGGAGTACAGTGAAATGTTCATGGCCACCACAGCCTCAACCTGCTGGGCTCAGATGATCTTTCTGCCTCAGTCTTCTAAGTAGCTGGAACTATAGGCCCACACCATCACACCCAGCTAACTTTTCTTGATTTATTGTAGAGATAAGGTGCCACCAAGTTGCCCACACTGGTCTTGAACCTCTAGGCTCAGGCAATCCTCCCACCTTGGCGTCCCAAAGTGCTGAGATCATAGTTGTGAACCACTGCACCTGGCCCCACTTCTTTATTTCATACTGACTCTTATGTTTTTCAGCCTCTAATTTTTTGATACTCTTATTGAAAAATATGAACTTGTAGCCAGGTGTGATGGCTCACGCCTATAATCCCAGCACTTAGGAGTTGGAGGCCAGAGGACTGTTTGAGTTCAGGGGCTCGAGACCAGCCTGGACAACTTGGTGAGACCTCGTCTCTACAGTAAAACAAAAAATTAGCCAGGTGTGGTGACACATGTCTGTGGTTCCAGCTCCTTGGAAGACTGAGGCAGAAGGAGTCCAGCTTGTCTAGGCTGTGGCAGCCGTGAATGTGCCACTGCACTCCAGCCTGGGCGACAGAGTAAGACTCCTATTTAAAAAAAAAAAGAGGCCGGGCTCGGTGGCTCAGTCTGTAATCCTGCGCCTTTGGGAGGCTGAGGTGAGTGGATTACCTGAGCCTGCGGGTTCGAGACCCGCCTGGGCAGCGAGACCTCATCTCTACAATAAATCAAAAAATCAGCCGGGCGTGGTAGTACATATCTGTAATTACGGCTACTTGGAAGGCTGAGGCTGAAGGATCGTCGGAACCCAGCAGGTCGAGGCTGCAGTGGCCAGGAGCGGCCACTGCACTCCAGTCTGGGTGACAGAGTGAGACTCCAACTCAAAATAATAATAATAATAATAATAATTTGTGATGGGGCTCTGAGATTCTTGTGCATTGAAGCCCTGACTATATGTAGTATTCCTGATTTACTAAAATATAAAGAGGATTGATCTGGCAAAATTAGTGTGAGTAATTTTGGATATGCATTACTATTCATTTATGTTTTTTTCTAAAGGCACAGCAAATCCTAAAGTCACTTTTAAGATGTCAGAAATAATGATTGATGTTGAAGGAAGGGTAAGTATAAAATGTTGAACTGACTTTCTGTGTCATTTGATTAGTGTATTCACTTGGGATCTTTGCTACGCTTTTTTATTTTTGGACTTGAACTTGGTGAGAATCATGATTTTTAGGCTGACCTAATTTTCCACTTGCAAATCCTCCTCCTGATTCCCAAGATAGGAATATGATGATGGGCATATTTACCACTCCTTTCCAATAGTTTCTCCTTTAATTCTCAATGTTAAAAAAAAAAATGCTGATTATTGACTAGTGAGTGGATACCTATTGGGGATTAAATATTCTGTAGTTCTCTCATACTGTGACTTTCCATTAGACAGCCAAATGCTTATAGGCCGCATGTATGGAAGACTGGTTACAAATAGTCTTCTCTGTTGGGCTTTTTAAAAACAGCTTTATAGGGATATAATTCACATACAATATGATTCATTTATTCTTACCTTTTTTTTTTTTTTTTTTTTGAGTTGGAGTCTCACTCTGTCACCCAGACTGGAGTGTAGTAGCTGCTCCCGCAGCCTCGACCTGCTGGGCTCCAGTGATCCTTCTGCCTCAGCCTTCCAAGTAGCTGGAACTACAGGCGCGCGCTACCACCCCCAGCTAATTTTTTTTTTTATTTATTGTAGAGATGAGGTCTCACCAAGATGCCCAGGCGGGTCTCGAACCCAGGCTCAGGCAGTCCACTCACTTGGGCCTCCCAAAGTGTGGGATTACAGGCTGAGCCACTGAGCCCGGCTTATTCTTACTTTAAAAAAATTTTTTTTTGAGTCAGAGTCTCATGCTGTTACCCAGGCTGGAGTACAGTGGCATGTTCACGGCCACCCCAGCATCAACCCACTGGACTCAGGCAATCCTTACACCTCAGCCTTCCAAGTAGCCAGAACTACAGGTGCACTACCACACCTGGCTAATTTTTTGATATACTATAGAGACGAGGTCTCACCAAGTTGCCCAGGCTGGTTTTAAACCCTTGGACTCAGTCAGTCCTCTCGCCTCAGCCTCCCAAAGTGCTGGGATTTTAGGCTTGAGCCACCCCGGCCCCCGCCTATTCTTACTTAAAATTCAGTGGCTTTTAGTATATTCATAGAATTGTGTAACCATCACCATAGTCATTTTTAGAACATTGTCATCACCTAAAAAAAACCCAAAAACCCATCCCCTTAGCCATCATCTGCCAACTTCCCCATACCTCCCAAACCCAGGCAACCCTGAATCTTTCTGTCTCTATAGATTTCCTATTCTGGATATTTTATATAAATGAATCATACAATATGTAGTCTAGCTTCCTTCACTTAGATTATTGTTTTCAAAGTCTGTCTATATTGCATCATGTATCAGTTCTTCATTTCCTTGTATTGCTGAAGATATTATATGGATATAGCACATTTTATTTATCCATTCCTCAGTTGATGGGCATTTGGGTTGTTTCCACTTGTTGGTTACTATATGAATAATGTTGCCAGGAATATGTATGTACATACTTTTGTGGGGGCTTACATTTTCATTTCTCTGGTATAGACCTAGGAGTAGAAGTGTTGAGTCATTTGATAACTATTATTAACCTTTTTTGGAACTGTCAAACTGTTTTCCAAAGTGGCTGCACTCTTTTATGTTCCCACCAGCAATGTCTGATGTTTCTAGTCTCTCCATAGCATCACTGACACTTGTCCATCTTATTTATGACAGCCAACATAGTGGGTGTGGAGTGGCATTGCATTGTGGTTTTGATTTACATTTTCCAGATCCTTTGATTACTTTTTTAAAATTATTTAATTTTAAAATTGTGTCTGTTAGACTTTTTATTTTTATTTGTTTACTTGGGTTTTTTTAGTTGGAGTCTCACTCTGTTGCCCAGGCTAGAGTACAGTGGCATACTCACAGCCACTGTAGCCTCAACCTGTTGGGCTCAGGTGATGCTTCTGCCTCAGCCTTCCACATAGCTAGAACTACAGGCACACACTACCACGCCTGGCTAATTTTTTGATTTATTGTAGAGATGAGGTCTCACCAAGTTGCCCAGGCTGGTCTCGAACCTGTGGGCTCAGGCAGTCCTCTCACCTCAGGCTCTCAAAGTGCTGAGATTATAGGAATGAACCAGGCCTGCTAGACTTTTCTTTTCTTTCTTCTTTTTTTAAGTTGAAGTCTCATTCCGTTGCCCAGGCTGGAGTGCAGTGGCACGCTCTTGGACACCCCAGCTTGACTTGCTGAGCTCCGGTGATCCTTCCACCTCAAGTAGCCAGAACTACAGGCATGCGCTACCATGCCCAGATAATTTTTTTGATTTTTATTGTAGAGATGAGGTCTCACCATGTTGCTCAGGCTAGTCTGGAACCCACGGGCTCAGGTAGTCCTCTTGCCTCAGCCTCCCAAAGTACTGGGATTACAGGCCTGAGCCACAGCTCCTGGTCCTGCTAGGCTCTGGCGATCCTTTTGCCTCAGCCTTCCAAATAGCCGGAACTACAGGTGCAAACTACGACATCCGGCTAATTTTTTATTTATATATTGTAGAGATGAACCTTCGGTGGCCCCTGCTAGACTTTTTAAATGAAAAAAAGTTTGCTGGCCGGGCTTGATGGCTCAGCCTGTAATTCCAGCACTTTGGGAGGCCGAGGCTAGTGGATTGCCTGAGCCTGTGGACTTGAGACCAGCCCGGGTAACTTGGCAAGACCTTTTCTCTACAATAAATCAAAAATGAGCTGGCTGTGGTAGTGCACACCTATAGTTTTAGCTACTTGGAAGGCTGATGCGGAAGTATCATACGCCTGAGCCCAGCAGGTTGATGTTGGGGTGACTGTGAGTATGCCACTGCACCCCAACCTGGGTGACAGAGTGAGACTCCAATTCAAAAAAGAAAAAAAAAGTTTACTTACCTAAGACCATTTCTTTACATATTGCACAAATATATTTTAGGCTAAAATACAGGGATCCAGAGACTATTGCTTTTCTTAAATATTAAAATCTAAAGTGAGCTGGGTTTGGTGGCTCAGTCTGTAATCCCAGCACTTTGGGAGGCTGAGGTGAGTGGATTGCCTGAGCCTGCAGGTTCGAGACCCGCCTGGGCAACTTGGTGAGACCTCATCTCTATAATAAAATAAAAAATTAGCTGGGCATGGTAGCGCACTCCTGTAGTTCCAGCTACTTGGAAGGCTGAGGCAGAAGGATCGCCAATGCCCAGCAGGTCGAGGCTGCAGTGGTCGGGAGCAGCCACTGTACTCCAGTCTGGGTGACAGAGTGAGACTCCAACACAAAAAAAAAATCTAAAGTGATGAAAGCTTTATTTTACCAGTTATTATCAGGGTTTCTGTTAGTAACAATTCATAGGAAAAGACTTTTAGATTGTGTTAATTCTTGTGGTTAGAGCTTTTTTAGACTGGTTTTTTTTTATTTGTTTATTTTTTGAGTTGGAGTCTCACTCTGTTCCCCAGACTGGAGTGCAGTGGCCGCTCCCAGCTACCGCAGCCTCAACCTGCTGGGCTCCGGCAATCCTTCCACCTCAGCCTTCCAAGTAGCCGGAACTACAGGCGCATGCTACCACGCCCAGCTAATTTTTGATTTATTGTAGAGATGAGGTCTTGCCAAGTTGCCCAGGCGGGTCTCGAACCTGCAGACTCAGGCAATCCACTCACCTCAGCCTCCCAAAGGCGCAGGATTACAGGCTGAGCCACCGAGCTCAGCTTAGACTGTTTATTAAAAGCAACAGTATAACTAACCCATATCTTACTGCTGGCTTTGCTACATGTTTTGTATGTTTTAAAATATCTAAGTTTGAAAAAGTGTTCTGCTGTTAGAGGTAATGTTAAAGTAGACATGATGAGCTAATTATCTAAATTTATAACTAGATTCTTTTTTTTCTTTTTTAATAGATTGTAGATGTCATAGATAAGGAACTAATTCAACCTTTTGAGATTCTATTTGAAGGAGTTGAATATATTGCCAGAGCTGGATGGACTCCAGAGGGAAAATAGTGCGTATGTTAAATTGTCACTTCTTTATAACTAATTTAGGGTCCAGTGTTATTAGGTTTGCCTTATAGTTGGAGTTGCCTTCATATGTGAATTTGCAGCATAGTTATTTCTGCATGAGGGCTTTTTCATGAAATAAGTGGACCTATGGACTTGTAACCCTATAAGCATAGATGCATTTTATTTGTTTATTCATCTTAGAGACAGGGTCTTGCTCTGTCATCTAGGCTGGAGTGCAGTAGCATGCCTGGCAGCCTCAAACTCGTGGGCTCAAGAAGTCCTCCTGCCTCAACTGAGCTTCCCAAGTAGCTAAGACTATAGACAGGCTCCCATGTCTAACTAATTTTAAAACTTTTTGTAGAGATGGGATCTTACAGTGTTGCCCAGGCTGGTCTGAAACTCCTGACCACAATTGATCCTCCCACCTTAGCCTCTCGAAATGCTGGGATTATAGACGTGAGCCAGCATGCCTGGCCTTAGCATCGCATTATTAATTCTGTCTTTTATTCAGACATTTATAATTGACAGTGTTATTTGTGGTTAAATTGTATGACTTTAAGGCTCACACATAAGTGTATATTTTTAAGATTATATAATTTGGGCGGGCACAGTGGCTCAAGCCTGTAATCCCAGCACTTTGGGAGGCCAAGGTGAGAGGATTGCCTGAGCCCAAGGTTTTGAGATCAGCCTGGACAACTTGGTGAGACCTCATCTCTGCAAAAAATCAGAAAATTAGCCAGGCATGGTGGCTCACACCTGTAGTTCCAACTACTTGGAAACCTGAGGCAGAAGGATCACCTGAGCCCAGCAAGTCGAGGCTGTGGTGGCCGTAAGCATGCCAGTGCACTCCAGCCTGGGTGACAGAGTGAGACTCCAACTCAAAAAAATAAAATAAAAATAAATAAAATTATATAATTTAAGCAGAAATAGTTTTAGAGCCTTATGTAAGAATTATTATAAATAGTTTCTGTGTCTAATGTAGACAACAGGAGTTTCACAAGTTTGGCATTTGTTGACTGACATTTGTTGACACCAAAAGGAGAAAATACTTTCAAAGGCCAAGTTTTGGAAATTTAAAAAAAACTACTTTTTAAAAATTTTTAATAAATATAGAGTGTTTTTAATTGTCTATTTGTGATAATTTAACATATACTAAGGCAGTTCTTTCATTGTGTTTATAGAAGTAATTGATAGGTGCCAAGGGATAGAATTGGGGATTAGTCATTTTCTGAGAACTTGCTTTATTTCTGGTACTTCTCTTTTATTTGTTTACATAGTGCTTGGTCCATCCTACTAGATCGCTCACAAACTCGCCTACAGATAGTGTTGGTCTCGCCTGAATTATTTATCCCCGTAGAAGATGATGCCATGGAAAGGCAGAGACTCATTGAGTCGGTGCCTGACTCTGTGACACCACTCATTATCTATGAGGAAACAACAGACATCTGGATAAATGTATGCATTTTTTTTCTGTACACGGTTAAATATTTTCTCAGAACGCTAAAGAAAATTAAGTTTTATGGTAAACTATCGAAATGCATTTTTTTTAGTTCAAAGGAATTATGAATGTTACTTTCCTAGTGTGAATGTTTCAAATCAGAGTCATGGTTCCAAAATCGAATGGTTTGTAGGTAGAAAGTAGATGTCATTAAAATGACATCTCCCTGACTGAAGATGTGTTCCTGGACACTTATCAGTGCTTTTGAGAGGACTTGAAGAGTCTGCTATAGGAAAAAACTTCCTCTTCTTAGTTGGCAAACTGTTTTTGTTTTTGTTTTTTTGAGTCGGAGTCTCACTCTGTGGCCCAGGCTGGAGTGCAGTGGCACGCTCACAGCCACTGCAGCCTCATCCTGCTGGGCTCAGGCAATCCTTCCGCCTCAGCCTTCCAAGTAGCTGGAACTACAGGCATGTGCCACAATGCCCGGCTAATTTTTTTGATTTATTTTAGAGATGAGGTCTCGCCAAGTTGTCTGGGCTAGTCTCGAACCCCTGAGCTCAGGCAATCCTATCGCCTCCGCCTCCCAAAGAGCTGGGATTACAGGCATGAGCCACCACGTCCGGCAGTTTACCAGTTTTTAATTGAATTTTGCATTCTCCAATTTAGCACAAAAACTCAAGATACAACATAAATAAATAAAACCAGCTGATTTCCTAGTCAAGTACAGGCTTCACATGATTCACCTGAAACAGAGGGACATCTGTTTTCCCTTTAGCTATTAGAATATTTCTCTTTGGAAAATAAAAGTAAAAAAAAAATTTCCTCATCATTTCTGTAATAAGTTTGTATCATTAAATCCTTGATATGTTTCAAGAATTACAGAGATGTTGAGTAAGAAGCTGCTTTTGGTCATATTTTTATTTTTCTTTCCATTTGTTTCTCAATGAATGATGTCTTTGACTAAAATAAAATAAATCTGAAAGGCCCAGCCAAAATTTATCATAAGTATATCATACTCATAGCACTGACATTAATATTACAAAGCATATTAGGTAATTTCGTCTTTCTGTAGCTTAATTGTTTATATAGTATTTTCATTAACGTGAATAGTAAATTAAACTATTCGTTTTACAGATCCATGACATCTTTCATGTTTTTCCCCAAAGTCACGAAGATGAAATTGAATTTATTTTTGCCTCTGAATGCAAAACAGGTTTCCGTCATTTATACAAAATCACATCCATTTTAAAGGAGAGCAGATATAAACGATCCAGTGGTGGGCTGCCTGCCCCAAGTAAGAAATCCTATTTTATGTAAAAAGGGAAAAAGAGTTGGGGGTAGAAGGTGGGAGGGACAGTAGAATGTCATGCCTCTCGTATGCTTTAGAAGCAGCAGTGCTTGCTTCGTTAAAAATATATAAACTAAACTAAAATATAAGTACATACATGTGTAAAAACATAGGACAAAGTTTTTAATGGATATGTACATATTATAAACTATTAATATTGAACAATCTCTGGATATTGGAATTACTTATTTTTACTTTCTACTTTTGCCTTGATTATAGTTTTTAGTTCGTTTAAAGTGAGCCCATACTATTTTTATATTTTAAAACTTTAAAAAATATTATATTAGATATTTTTACACATTAGATGTTTCTTATGCTCTCTGCATCTACACTGAAGTTAATTTATAGTTATAGCTCTTCAAATATAATTATGTTGCCAAGGTGAAATAAATTATTATGTCCGCTGAATTTAATTTTTCTTTAAAAAGTGATGGTTTTTGGAAGGCGGAGGCAGAAGGATCACCTGGGTTCAGCAGGTCAAGGCGGCAGTGGCCAGGAGCATGCCACTACCCTCTAGCCTGGGTGACAGAGTGAGACTCCAACTCAAAAAAAAAAATCTTTCTACCATCTTTCCATGCTGCCATGGTGCACATGAATGTCCTGACTGATGCTCTCAAGAGTATCAACAATGCTGAAAAGAGAGGCAAATGCCAGGTTCTTATCAGGCCATGCTCCAAAGTCATTGTCCGGTTTCTAGCTGTGTTGATGAAGCATGGTTACATTGGCGATTTTGAAATCATAATGATCACAAAGCTGGAAAAATTGTTGTGAACCTCACAGGCAGGTTAAACAAATGTGACATGATCAGCCCCAGATTTGATGTGCAACTCAGAGATCTAGAAAAGTGGCAGAATAATCTGCTTCCATCCCACCAGTTTGATTTCACTGTACTGACAACCTCAGCTGGTATCATGGACCACAAAGAAGCAAGAAGGGAAACACAGGAGGGAAAATCCTGGGATTGTTTTTCTAGGCATGTAATGCATATGTACAAATAAAAAAGCCTCAGCAGGAAAAAAAAGTGATGGTTTTTCTTCTTGAAATATAATACAGAATGGATACATAAGCCTAGAATATGAATTGATATATTGAATATTTTTCCTGAGTTTTTCTAAAACTGAGTTGCTGTTTTCAACTTTAATAATACAGTCTGTTTTAGAATAGTAAGCACTTTATGATAAGCTATGTTATATGCTTAACTGCATTTTGTAAGTTATAGATTTAGCATGGGCTTTTTTAAAAATTGTGGAAAAATATACACAACAAGATTTACCATTTTGATCTCTTTTTTTGGTAGCTATGTGGGTCTCAAACTTCTGGGCTCAAGCAGTTCTCTTGCCTCAGCCTCTGAAAGTGTTGGGATTACAGGCGTGAGCCACCACATTCAGCCCATTTTAACCTTTTTTTTTTTTGAGTCAGAATCTCACTCTGTCACCCAGGCTCACAGCCACCCCCGCATCAACTGGGCTGATTACCTGCTGGGCTCAGGTAATCCTTCCACCTCAACCTTCCAAGTAGCTGGAACTACAGGCGCATGCTACCACACCCAGCTAATTTTTTTGATATATTGTAGAGATGAGATCTCACCAAGTTGCCCAGGCTAGTTTCGAACCTCTGAGCTCAGGCAATCCTCTCACCATGGCATCCCAAAGTGCTGGGATTACAGGCTTAAGCCACTGTGCCTGGCTCTCTTAACCATTTTTAAGAGTACAATTGAGTAGCATTAAGTCCCGTCATGTTGTTGTGCGGCCATTAGCACCTTCCCTCTCCAGAACATTTTCATCTTCCCCAAAACTGAAATTAAAGTGTATTATCCCGACTCTCTCTCTCTACAGACTGTGGCAATCACTTTCTGTCTATGAGTTTAAGTATTCTGGGTACCTCATTTAAGTTTTTTTTTGTTTTTTTTTTTTGGTCTCACTCTGTCACCCAGGCTGGAGTGCAGTGGCATGATCACAGCTCATGGCAGCCTCAACCTCCTGGGCTCAGTTCGTCCTTCCCCCTCAGCCTCATGGGTAGCTGGGACTACAGGAGTGTACTACCATGCCTGGCTAATTTTTTGATTTTGTAGAGATGAGGTGTTATGTTGTCTAGGATGGTCTCAAACTTAAGGGCTCGTGCTATCCTCCCTTGGCCTCCCAAAGTGCTGGGATTACAGGCCTGAGCCACCATGCCTGGTCTTAAGTATTTGTCCTTTTGTGACTCGCTTATTTCACTTAGCATAATGTCCTCAAAGTTCATCCATGTTTTAGCACGTGTCAGGATTTCCTTCTTTTTTTTTTGAGTTGAAGACCCACTCTTGTCACCCAGGCTGGAGTGCAGTGGCATGCTCATGGCCACTGCAGCCTCGACCTGCTGGGTTTAGGCAATCCTTCCACCTCAGCCTTCCAAGTAACTGGAATACAGACACACACCACCACATGCAGCTAGTTTTTGTGGTTTATTGTAGAGACGAGGTCTCACCAAGTTTCCCAGGCTGGTCTTGAACCCCTGGGCTCAGGCAGTCCTCTTGCCTTGGCCTCCCAAAGTGATTACAGACTGAGCCACCGTGTCCGGCCAGAATTTCCTTCTTTTTTTAAGGCTGTATGGTATTCCATTGTATGTCTGTACCATATTTTGCTTATCTATTTATCTGTTGATGGACACTGAGATTGTTTCAGCTTTTGGCTATGGATGTGGGTGTACAAGTATCTGTTCCTGTCCTTGCTTTAATTTCTTCTTTTTTTGAGTCAGGGTCTCACTGTCATTCAGGTTAGAATGCAGTGACATAGTCATGACTCACTGCCATCCTTCCACCTCAGACTCCCTAGTACCTGAGACCACCACCCCCAGCTAATTTTTTAATATTTTGTAGAGACAAGATCTCGTTGTGTTGCCAAGACTGGTCTTGACTTCCTGACCTCTAGCAATCTGTTCTCCTTGGCCTCCTAAAGTGCTGGGATTACAGATGTGAGCCACCAAGCCCAGCATAATTTCTTTTGAGTATATACCCAGAAGTGGAATTTCTGGATCATATGATAATCCTATTTTTTTTAGCCTGGTAATTCTATTTTTCTTTTTCTTTTCCTTTTTTTGAGTCAGAGTCTCACTCTGTCACCCAGACTGGAGTGCAGTGGCACACTCACAACTGCTACAGCCTCAACTTGCTAGGCTCAGGCAATCCTTCCTCCTCAGCCTTCCAAGTAGCTGAAACCACAGGCATGTGCCACCATGCCCGACTGATTTTTTTTATTTATTGAAGAGATGGTGTCTTGCCATGTTGCTCAGGTTGGTCTCGAACCCCTGAGCTCAGGTAATCCTCTCACCTCTGCCTCCCAAAGTGCAGGAATTGTAGGCATGAGCCATCATGCCTGGCTGTATTTTTCATTTTTTGAGGAACTGCCATACTGTTTTGTGTTGCTACACCAGCAGTGTACAAGTGTTTTGACTTCTCCACATCCTCAGCAGTACTTGTTATCATCTGTTGTTTTTTTAATGATAACTGACCTGGTCTTTTTTCATCCAACTCTTTGCTTTTCCTTCACCTCCACTTTATTTTTCTTCTCCCTCCTTTCTTCCTTAAAAGTGTCTTAATGTAAAAACAATATTTGTTATCTCTATGTCAAACAATCTTAATTTCTATCTATAAAGATTAAGTACTAAGTTGAATTTTTATATCTAAGAAGAATAAAATACTTTTTTTTTTTTTTTGAGTTGGAGTCTCACTCTGTCGCCCAGACTGGAGTGCAGTGGCCACTCCCAGCCATCACAGCCTCGACCTGCTGGGCTCCGGCGATCCTTCCGCCTCAGCCTTCCGAGTAGCCGAAATTACAGGCATGCGCTACCATGACCGGCTGATTTTTTGATTTGTTGTAGAGATGAGGTCTCGCTGCCCAGGCGGGTCTCGAACCTGTGGAATCAGGCAATCCACTCTCCTCAGCCTCCCAAAGGCGCGGGATTACAGGCTGAGCCACTGAGCCCGGCTCTTTTTTTTTTTTTTTTAACATTTGCACAAGACCCTAGTAAAGATCCTGTTCCATTATCTCACCGTCTAGGCCTGTCTTCAGCTGTCACACCCCACAGCCATAGATATAAGCAGCTAGGAGAAGAGAAATGATTTTCATTTTTTAACCACATCTTTAGGCCACTGAGGTAACCTCATCAAGACAGAATCTACCCTGGGTACAGTGGCTTAATCTTGTAATCCCAGCACTTTGGGAAGCTGAGACTGGTCGATCACTTGAGGCCAGGTGTGGTAGTGAGCACCTATAGTTCCAGCTTCTTGGAAGGCTAAGGCAGGAGGACTGCATGAGCCCAGGAGTTTGAGGCTGCAGTGAGCCATGATCGTGCCACTGTATTTCAGCCTGGGCAATAGACAATGCATCTTTTGAGGGGAAAAGCGTTTAGAATACTATTTTTTTTTGAGTTGGAGTCTCACTCTGTCGTCCAGACTAGAGTGCATTGGCACACTCCCGGCCACCACAGCCTCGACCTGCTGGGCTCTGGCGATCCTTCTGCCTCAGCCTTCCAGGTAGCTGGAACTACAGGCACACGCTACCACGCCCAGGTAGTTTTTTATTTATTGTGGAGATGAGGTCTTGCCAAGTTGCCCAGGTGGGTCTTGAACCCACGGGCTCAGGCAATCCACTCACCTCAGCCTCCCAAAGCACAGGATTACAGACTGAGCCTCCAAGTCCAACTAGAATACTATTTTTCATTGTTTTATTTTCTTATGGTCTGATAAAAGATACTAAATTATAACTATTTCTTTTCAGGTGATTTTAAGTGTCCTATCAAAGAGGAAATAGCAATTACCAGTGGTGAATGGGAGGTTCTTGGCCGGCATGGATCTAACGTATGTTCTTTTATTCTACTGATAGTTTGTCAGTATCTTCTGTGTGAATGCAGTACTAAATATGCAATTGAATATCAACCCAGTATTCTGAAAATAGTAAAGTAGGGCTTAAAAGACCTAGTTGGTTTAAAAGACCTAGTTGTTGGAAAGAATTCTAGTTTAAATTATAGATCTCAGGCCTGGCGTGGTGGTTCAAACCTGTAATCTCAGCACTTTGGGAGGTGGAGGCAAGAGGATTGCCTGAGTTCTGAGTCTGAGACCAGCCTGGGCAACTTGGTGAGACCTTGTCTCTACAATAAAAAAAAATACTGGGCATGGTAGCGCGCCTGTAGTTCCAGCTTCTTGGAAGGCTGAGGCAGAAGGATCACTTGAGCCCAGTAGGTCGCGGCTGCAGTGGCCATGGGTGTGCCACTGTACTCCAGCATGGGCAACAGAGTAAGACTCCGACTCCAAAAAGAAAAATTATAAGTCATCCGTTTTATAGCCCTAGTATTAGATGTGTTCTGGTTACTAAAGGTCACATTTTCAAATGTATTGTTCCTGCTTATTAAGAAAGGGGCTGGTCCTTACTTTTAGAGTCTAGTAAAAAAGTTGTGAGTTAAGATATTGTTTGGAAATTATTACTTAATTTTTATTATTCTTTGAGACAGGGTCTTGCCATGTCACCAAGGCATGCAGTGGTGTGATCACAGTTCACTGTAGCCTCAAACTCCTAGGCTCAAGTAATCCTTCCAAAGAGCTCAGCCTCCTGGGTTGCTGGGACTACAGGCACAAGCTACCATCCCCAGCTAGTTTTTAAAAATTGAATAAGAGACGAGGTCTTGCTATGTTGCCTAGGCTGGTCTTGAACTCCTGTTCTCAAATGATCCTTCCGCCTCTGCCTCTCAAAGCCCTGGGATTATAGGCATGAGCCACCATGCCCAGACCCTGAAAATTATTTTCAAGTGGATTATAGACTATTTGCATTGTGTCTGCATTACAAGTTATAATTACTACTTCTGAGATGGTGATTCTCTCTCATTCACCTGTTTATCTTATCTCACAGAGTTAAATTTTAATCTACCACCTACAAAGAGTGATGGGCAATTGTATAGAACTTAGGTTGATAGGGAGAAGGAGGAAAATCCACTGTTTCACTCTTAGCAGTTTAGTGTTTTTTTTTTCTTTTGCCTTTCATGGTAACTTGCATTTATTTCAGCTACAGTTAAATGGTCACGTTTCATGAAATCTGTAAGAACTTCATCCATTGTGTGTGCCACATACAGTTGAGGTATGCTACCAGGATTCAGTGGAGACCTAAATGTGACTTTCTCAAATTGATATGGAGGTTTCTTGAAGGATTGTGTATACTGGCTACTTTAGAAATCACTTATAGGTCCTAAGGTGTTTGAGGAGAAGAAATGAAGATTCAGGTCCCAGCTTTGCTTTTGCTGGTTAAAACTTTAGAGCATCATCGGTATCCTTTAAAGTCTGCTTTCTCCTGAGATTCTCACATGGCATCTAGATCCAAATCTATATTTTTCCTGTTTGGGAACCTAGGATATTACTGTCACCAGAGGAAAACAATCTTATTATGGAATTCTAGTTTCTGATAGTAGAAAATGACACTACTTAAATTTCATGCTTTGTGATGGTTAGAGAGTAAGAGTCATTAGATAGTACTGAGGGAACCCAGAAATGGTATTTACATAGATCTTATTTTTTATTTGGGCAGCCTAAATGTCTCAGCTACTTGCCTTTATGTGTGTTATTTCATTCTTTATTTTGTTTGTTTGTTTTTTGAATTGGGAGGTCTCTCCCAGGGTGGAGTACAGTGGCATGATACTGCTCACCACATCCTGGACCTCCAGGGCTCAGGAGATTCTTCTGTCTGATCCTCCCCAGTAGCAGGCATGTACCACCATGCCTGGCTTATTTATTTATTTATCCTGGCTTGTTTGTTTGTTTGTTTATAGAGATGAGGTCTTGCTATCCAGGCTGGTTTCAGACTCTTGAGCTCAAACAGTTCTCCCATCTTGGCCTCTCCAAGTGTTGGGATTACAGATGTGAGCCACTGTGCCTAGCCATTTTCATCTTTCTTTTTCTTTTCTTTTTTTGAATTGGAGTCTCACTCTGTCGCTCAGGCTAGAATGCAGTGGCACACTCACGGCCACCCCAGCATTGATCTGCTGGGCTCCGGTGATCCTTTCGCCTCAGCCTTCCAAGTAGCCAAAACTTCAGGAGCCTGCTACCATGCCTGGGTAATTTTTTATTTATTGTAGAGGCAAGGTCTCGCCAAGTTGCCGGGGCTGGTCTCAAACCCTCGGACTCAGGCAGTCCACTCACCTCAGCCTCCCAAAGTGCTGGGATTATAGGCTGAGCCACCAAGCCCAGCCTCATTTTCTTCTTTCCTGATGTCATGTTCATTTATGTAATGTATTTGTCTGTTTTTTTTTTCTCTTCCTGTAATTTCTCTCTATTCTTGTGTTTTTGTTGTTGCTTGTTTTTGTCTTTTTATTTTATTATTACTATTTTGGGGCTGAGATTTCACTCTGTCACCCAGGCTGGAGTGCAGTGACACAACCATGATTCACTGCAGCCTTGACCTCCTGGGCTCAGGCAATCCTTCTGCCTCAGCTGCCCAAGTAGCTGGAACTACAGGTGTGCACCATCATATCCAGGCAATTTTATGGATTATTTTGTAAAGACGGAGTCTTGCTATGTTGCCCAGGTTAGGCTCGAACTCCTGGACTCAATTTGCCCTCCCGCCTCAGCCTCCCAAAGTGCTAGGATTGCAAGCATGAGTCACCATGCCCAGCTGTTTTTTCTTTTATTTCTTATTTTTTTAGATGGGAAAATATCGTTTATTTAGAAAGTAGATTAGAGAGTGAGAGAAGGAAGAAATTCACCTCCCCAAGATAGGGGAGGGGGTCATAGCTTAGGGAAACAAAAGCATGGCCCAGCCATAGCTCAAAGAGCACATGGCCAGAATAGAGCTTAAGAAAAGCAATGACCTGATTTTTTTCTTTTTTCTTTTTTTTTTTTTTTTTTTTGAGTTGGAGTCTCACTTTGTCATCCAGGCTAGAGTGCAGTGGCACGTTCACAGCCACCGCAGCCTCAACCTGCTGGGCTCAAGAGATCCTTCCACCTCAGCCTTCCAAGTAGCTGGAACTGCAGGCACACGCCACCATATCCGGTTAATTTTTTTATTTATTGTAGAGATGAGGTCTCACCTAGCTGCCCAGGCTGGTCTTGAACCCATGAGCTCAGGTAATCCTCTCACCTCGGCCTCCTAAAGTACTGGGATTATAGACATGAACCTCTGTGCCCAGCCCTAAAAAATGCTTAATGATGAGAATGCAACTTCCTAGAAAGAGCAATCCGTTTAGAAATACTTACTTTAGCTGGGCTCAGTGGCTCAGCCTGTAATCCCACGCTTTGGGAGGCTGAGGTGAGTGGATTGCCTGAGCCCACGGGTTCAAGACCTACCTGGGCAACTTGGCGAGACCTCTTCTTTACATTAAATCAAAAAATTAACCGGGCGTGGTAGCGCGCGCCTGTAGTTCCAGCTACTTGGAAGGCTGAGGCGGAAGGATCGCCGGAGCCCAGCAGGTTGAGGCAGCAGTGGCTGGGAGCGGCCACTGCACTCCAGTCTGGACGATAGAGTGAGACTCCAACTCAAAAATAAATAAATAAATAAAAATAAAATACTTTTAGAAATGTGTCTGTATTCTTTGCTATATAAAATATTTGAAAATTTTCGTAAACATCGTTTTGAGTAGACTGGCAGATTATTATTATTTTTTTTTGAATTGGAGTCTCACTCTGTCGCCCAGACTGGAGTGCAGTGGCCGCTCCCGGCCACCGCAGCTTCGACCTGCTGGGCTCCGGCGATTCTTCCGCCTCAGCCTTCCCAGTAGCTGGAATTACAGGCATGCACTACCACGCCCGACTGATTTTTTGATTTATTGTAGAGATGAGGTCTCGCTGCCCAGGTGGGTCTCAAACCCACGGGCTCAGGCAATCCACTCAACCTCAGCCTCCCAAAGGCGCAGATTTACAGGCTGAGCCACCGAGCCCGGCTAGATTTTTTTAAAGGAAAAATAAAAGAAATCCATTTATTTGGAATCATACCGTAATTTGGGAAGAATACTAAGTGAATTCAGCTGTGAGTTTGCTTGCATTTGTTTTGAGTTCTCAATGAGGACTATAAACTATACCAGTATTGGAACTGTGATTGAGTTTAGTTATTCCCCACCCCAATAGATGAACCACTTTTGCAAATTTGTACAAAAGCCCAAAAAAGTACTGCCTAAGAAAATACTGCACTAACTGAGAAATATACAAGAATTAAAATTACTCTTGGCCGGGCATGGTGGCTCAGCCTGTAATTCCAGCACTTTGGGAGGCCAAGGCGAGAAGATTGCCTGAGCCTGGGATTCGAGACCAGCCTGGGCAACTTGGTGAGACCTCGTCACTACAATTAATCATAAAAACTAGCTGGGCGTGGTAGCGTGTGTCTGTATTTCCAGCTATTTGGAAGGCTGAAGCGGAAGGATCACCTAAGCCCAGCAGGTTGAAGCTGCGGTGGCCCTGAGCCTCCAACTCAAAAAATAAAATAAAATAAAATAAAATTACTCTTTGTGGTATGAAAGAATGCTTGACCTTGGTTTTTTCCCAGTAAAGAGTTGTTATTTTAAGGAGATAATTCTTTCAAGAACAGCACGCGTTCTGTCAGATAGAAAATAGTATGCTGTTCAGGTGTCTTTTTATCCTTCTGGATGGGATATATTCTTAGCTGTAATTCATAAGCAAAACAAACTCAGGTTTATTAACATTGGTAAAAAACTGATTTAAAAAAAAACAGAGGCACAAGTCAAGTAGTGACTCAAATAATTCTGTATAAAATTAGGGGTTATTTTTTGAATTATTGACCCTGCCCAGGCCATGTTAGCACTGACTTTTTTTATTGTTATTTTGGCAGATCCAGGTAGATGAAGTCAGAAACCTGGTATATTTTGAAGGCACTAAAGACTCCCCCTTAGAGCATCACCTATACGTGGTCAGTTATGTAAATCCTGGAGAGGTGACAAGGCTGACCGATCGTGGCTATTCCCATTCTTGCTGCATCAGCCAGGTATTAAATCCCTGTTTGAAAAGGTTTCTTGTCATATAAATTCTCTCTGCTCATGTAATACTCCTTTTGAACGATGTAAAATATGGTGAAATTGGCCTGCAGAAACCTAATTCTCACAGGAAAATCTTTAAAAAGTTTAACCTTAACTTCAGCTTACTCAAACCCATATTATATTCTTGTATTACTCTGCATTAATGCAGTGTAACAGCAGATAGCCTTGTTTACTCTTCCCTGAGGAAAAACACCATTGTTTCTCCTTCCTTTAGTATTGTGACTTCTTTATAAGTAAGTATAGTAACCAGAAGAATCCACACTGTGTGTCCCTCTACAAGCTGTCAAGTCCTGAAGATGACCCAGCGTGCAAAACAAAGGAATTTTGGGCCACCATTTTGGATTCCGCAGGTACTCTTTTTTTCCCCTGATCCTAACCTTAAATAGAGTGAGTATGTTATTGCACTCAACCTGTGTTATATGTTCACACTTCCTGAACAGTCTTCCCATCTTTCACCGTTGCCTGTCCCCTCTTCTATCACCTGCTGAACAAGGTGGGTTACCTCTCACTTTAAGCAGGAGCAGGTCTGGAAAACCTTTTTGAAAGTAAGATTAAGGCAAGGCACAATGTTTTAAGCCTATTATCCCAGCACTTTGGGAAGCAGAGATGAGAGGATTGCCTGAGCCCACGGGTTTGAAAATAACCTGGGCACCTTGACAGGACTTCATCTCGACAATAAATCAAAAAATTAGCCGGGCGTGGTAGCATGTGCCTACAGTTCTGGCTACTTGGAAGGCTGAGGCAGAAGGATCACCTGAGCCTAGTAGACCGACGCTGGGGTGACTGCGAGTGTACCACTGCACTCCAGCCTGGGCAATGGAGTGAGATGCCAACTCTTAAAAAAAAAAAAATGCAAGTAAGATTAAAATAATCAAGATATCAGCTAGGAAGCTATTTATTCACACATTTGGATGGTTTCTCAGGTGTGCAAATGAACTTGAAGATAACGTATTCTGGACTAGTAAGATCCGTTGAGCAGGGAAGCTACAGCGTTAGAGAATAACCAGCCAGTAGCTTTCTTAACTTGGGAAGCTCTTGCCACAGCCGTCTTAGTAAAAGAAAACTTGTTGTCTATGGAAGTGAGAGGAACACCATGAATTATATATTTTTAAAATGTTTAATTTCTTAAAGGACCAATTTTATGTATCTTCCCATCCACTTAATCCCCAGAACATTTTTCTGTTAAGTATTTTCACTAGTTAGTAATATCTGCTATGGTATTAAGAAATTAGTGCAGAACCAAAGGATATGGGTATGTTTTAATGTCCACAAGCAGAATTAGTAATGTGATGATATCTGCTTAGATGATAACATTATCCACTGTACACAAACACTTAGGAGAGCCTGTATAGCTTTGATGAATCAAAGACTGATGATGACTTAATTTTTCCTGGGTTCTGATTAGGCTTATTCTCTTGTGATCAGAAACAAATGTGTATTGAGCACCTGCTGTGAACAAGTTAATGTGACTAATGTACTTCCTGTTTATACCTTCCCTGCCTCCCGGTGTTTGATTTATATGCCTATTTCTAATCAGGTATATGGTTTAACCATCAATAAGTTACACTAAACTGAGCATAAAATATTTTTATAGTTCTGCACATAGACATCTCCTAGGCCAAGGATTATTCAGAGTATTATATGTCTGCTTCTGAAATAGATAATTTGATGTGTGTTAGTTTTTTTATTTTTTTTAAGGTGAATATTTTGCTTATCATCTGAAAGTGAGATGGTCACTTATTTTTGTGTGAGGGGTCTGGTTTAAATGTATCTTTTGGCCAGGCTCAGTGACTCAGCCTGTAATCCCAGCACTTTGGGAGGCCAAGGTGACTGGATTGCCTGAGCCCGCGGGTTCGAGACCCGCCTGGGCAACTTGATGAGACCTCATCTCTACAATAAATCAAAAATTAGCTGGGTGTGGTAGCACGCGCCTGTAGTTCCAGCTACTTGGAAGGCTGAGGCGGAAGGATCGCCGGAGCCCAGCAGGTCAAGGCTGCAGTGGCCGGGATGGCCACTGCACTCCAGACTGGGTGACAGAGTGAGACTACAACTCAAAAAAAAAAAAAGTATTTTTCCTTGCTCTCAGATTATAGAGCTCTTATAAGAATTCTTTTATTAAACTCTATATGTTACCTACTCACAGGTCCTCTTCCTGACTATACCCCTCCTGAAATTTTCTCTTTTGAAAGTACTACTGGATTTACATTATATGGGATGCTGTACAAGCCTCATAATCTACAACCTGGAAAGAAATACCCTACTGTGCTGTTCATATATGGTGGTCCTCAGGTGGGCATGTTTATATACAGACATACATGCATATATATGTTAGGTGATTTGTTTTTTAAATGTCTAGTCAGTTGTTTAAACTTTTGAGCATTGTTGTGCCTCTACTGTTATTGACTCTGGCTTATGCTTTTGTTGTTGTTCTTTTAGAGACAGGATCTTGTTCTGTTGCCCAGAAGTGCAGTGGCATGATCACAGCTCACTGTAGCTTCCAACTCCCAAGTTCAAGCTATCCCTCTCCATCAGCCTCCTGAGTAACTGGGACTGCAGGCATGTGCCACCATGCCCAACTTAAAAAAAAATTTTTTTTTATAGAGACAAGGTGTCACTATGTTGCCTAGGCTGGTCATAAATTCCTAGGCTCAAGCTGTTCTCCCACCTCAGCTTCCAACAGTGCTTATGCTTTAATTATCCAGTTTACGAATTCAGGAAACAGGGTTTTGTTAGATGGTTACATCAGTAAAGTCAGTTCCTTCATTTACAGTGAAGACTATAATTCTCATGGGGAGTGGAGTATTCATGTCCATTTTATGTAGGTAAATATGTTGCTTTCTTGTAGAGAATCTTGTTTGGGAAATTAAATAAGTAGGCAGGGTGCCATGGGTCATGTCTGTAATCCCATCATTTTTGGAAGGCTAAGGCAGGAGGATCAGTTGAGGTCAGGAATTTGAGACCAGCCTGAGCAACGTAGGGGAAACCTGTCTCTACAAAAAGTTTTTTAAATAGCTGGGCATGATTTCCCCTCTTCATTGTAAATCTGTATCTCTCAAGCAAGCTAGAATTCTTTTATTATCTAGTTAAGGCAACTGCTGTACTACTACTGTTCAGCACCATAAGTAGTTTATACCTTGATTTTTTTTTTTCTGGATTAAATATTTGCAGATGACTATTAAGTAAATGCTTTTGGCTATCAGAGTAAAGCATTTTGGATTGGTGAATTGGATAACTGACAATTTTTAAAAATTGTTTATTCTTGATTGTATGTCTTACATTGAGCCTTTGAAGAAATTAGATACAATTACAGTTTTCATCTATGGCCATACCAACCTGAATGTGCCCTGTCTTGTCTAATTAGTTTTTGTAATGCAGCTCTTAGATGTAGTAATATCCTTTATAGTAACACCCAGTTATTTAGTATCTGGAAATATACCTAGATGTCAAGTTGTACAAATAATAAAATAATTGCAAAGGCATAAAAACTCTATATACTTTGCCATCAAGTTTGTTTTGCAAACAAACAAAACATGATTCACATTTGTATTATACTCATGTACTCAAATCATGAAAAAGTTAAATTAGACTTCTGCTAAAAACTTGAAGTCAAACCTTTGTAAACCTAAAAAATGACAACACAAAGCAATTCAAGAGAAAAATTGTAGGATATTCTCAGAAGCTTTATATATTTGTTAAATTATTTTGATAATAAGGCTCAGTAGAAAGGATATTTCTTCTTCCTAATGAAAAAATGATATGGGCAGGGTGCTCTGGCTCATGCTTGTAATCTCAACACTTTGGGAGGCAAAGGCGAGAGGATTGCTTGAATCCAGGAATTCAAGACCAACCTGGGCAGCTTGGCGAGACCTTATCTCTACAATGAATCAAAAAATTAACCGGGCATGGTGAAACATGCCTCTAGTTCCAGCTACTTGGTAGGCAAAGGCAGAAGGATTGACTGAGCCCAACAGGTCGAGGCTGCAGTAGCTGTGAGTGTGTCACTGTACTCCAGGCTGGGTGGCAGAATGAGATTCTGACTCAAAAAAAAAAAGATATGGTATATGAGATATGTGAAAAATGCTATGGAAATTAGATTTTTTAAGACTTAAAGGACTCCTTATATTAGTAATTAAGTTTAAAAAGCTTAAGCTACTTGAGATGTTCACTGTACTAGTCATTAGAGAAATTCAAATCAAAACTGCAATGAGATACCAGTTTATACCCGTTAGGATAGGATGGCTGTTCTCAAAAAGAGGAAAATAGTAAATGTTGTATAGGATTTGGAGAAATTGGAACCCTGGTCCATTGCTGGTAGGAATATAAGATGATTCAACTGTTGTGGAGAACAGTATGACAGTTATGCAGGATGCTAAAAAAATTATCATATGATATCACCCAACAGTTCCACTTCTGGAATTCAGAAGCACTGAGTGCAGGGATAGGATTAGATATTTTATAGCCATATCCACAGCAGCACTGCTCACAGTAATCAAAGGTAGAAGCAGCCCAATTGTCCTTCAGCAAATGAGCGAATAAACATGATGTGGTACATGCATGCAGTGGAATATTATTCAACCCTAAAAAAGAGGACATTTTCACACATGCTACATACAACATGGATGAACCCTGAGGACATAATGCTAAGTGAAATATGCCAGTCACAGATATTATTCCACTTGTATGAGGTAATTGTAATAAGAAAATTCATGGAGACAGAAGGTAAAACAGCAGTTGTCAGATTCAAGGGAGGAAGTATAGGGAGTTATTAGTGGGCATGGAACTTCTGTTTGGAAGATGAGAAAGTTCTGGAAATGGATAATGGTGATGGTTAGACAATAGTATGAATATATTTAATGTCTTTCAAGGTACACTTAAAATAATTGAAATGGTAAATTTTATTATATGTACATTTTACTATGATTTTTAAAGTCTTGGCTGGGCTCAGTGGCTCACTCAGCCTATAATCCCAGCACTTTGGGAGGCTGAGGCGAGTGGATTGCCTGAGCCCGCAGGTTCAAGACCAGCCCAGGCAATTTGGCGAGACCTCATCTCTAACAATAAATCAAAAATTAGCCAAGTATAGTAGTGCATGCCTGTAGTTCCGGCTACTTGGAAGGCTGAGGCAGAAGGATTGCCAGAGCCCAGTAGGCTGAGTCTGTGGTGGCCGAGAGCGTGCCACTGCACTCCAGCCTGGGTGACAGAGTGAGACTCCAACTCAAAAAAAATAAAATAAAGTCTTAGCCAATTCAGTTAAAATAAAATGAATTGTTTGGAGTACTTTATGAATACAGCTATACATTTTTGCACTTAAAGAAACGATCATATTTGAAAATGTTCCGTTAAAATAGTAGGTTTTCCCACTACTAGTCAGAAACAACACCAGAAGGGTGTGGGGTGGGGAGTGGATCTTATTTATCCTTGTTATTATCATTTCAATGACAGATTTCTTCAGGGTGGCAGTAATCAGTTTAATAACTTTTTCTATGGGGTAGATTAATTCACTTATATATAATATCTAAGTTAGAATTTTAAAGCCTATAGTTGTTAATAATTGCCCTGAACTTTGAGTGTAAAGTTAAGTAAGAAGCAACATAAACATGAAAAGATTTAAGCTAATTTAAAAATAAGTACATTTTAAAGGCAAAATAATATTAAAAATTTAAACTTTATATTTTTTGCAATGTCCTGCCTCTCTTACGCTTTTATATGTTCAATCATAGGATACATTTCACTGAAGTTTAATTTCTTCCTCAGGTGCAGTTAGTGAATAATCGGTTTAAAGGAGTCAAGTATTTTCGCTTGAATACCCTAGCCTCTCTGGGTTATGTGGTTGTGGTGATAGACAACAGGGGATCCTGTCACCGAGGGCTTAAATTTGAAGGCGCCTTTAAATATAAAATGGTGTGTGCTCATAAAAACACTTACATTCTCTGGTGCATTTTTGGTGTGAAACCCTGGGGAGGGAGTTGGGGGAAGGGGTTATGAGTGAGTGAGTGGATTGAGAGAGAGAGAGAGAGAGAGAGAGAGAGAGAGAGAGAGAGAGAGAGTGTATGTGTGTGTATGTGCGTATGCATGTGTGTGTTGGAGTTGGGAGGGAAGATTCAACTTGACATACAGTAGGCCAGCTCATGTCTATCTGTATGTAACTGTGAGGAGCTGTGGTAGAACCATTCTTACACAGAAATACCCTCTTTCTATTTGGTATGCCCACCTCAGCCAGAAGGTATAGCACTGTTTAGCTTTCAGCATCCTGTGCACTAGGAGTAATTGAGGCATAATTGAGATTTGTTCTGTCCTCTGTGAAGAGGGAATCCAACTGGTTAGTGCCTTCCTTGTGACAAGCCTCTTTCTCTCTACAGGAAGCTTAAATGCTACCTTTTAGTGATGCCCCATGGCCTTTCTGCTGCTTTGGGAAATGATGAGAATCCGATGTTCCTTTTGCACAGTAAGGCAGTTACTGTGCTTGCCAGTGTATTGGACATGCTGAGTAAGACATGGGCATTTTCTCCCACAGCCAGTTCTTTGACCTTATGTTGTATTCTCATGTAAGTTTTTTGTTTTTATTTTTTGTTTTTTGCTCAGTGAATTGAAATTGTGTGCACTGGCAGGCCTAGTAATATAGTCAGGGTGGTGGTGGTAGGAATGAGGACTTCAAAGATAAAGAATGTGTTCAGTTCTTAGAGCTGTTATGATGGGGAGATAGAAAGACAGGCCCTTAGGAGTGATCCCCTCTGCTTTACTGCACTAAGTAGTAAAAAAGAAAAGTAAAAATTAATCAGTCACTGATTTCTTTTTTTTGTCTTTGGGTATAGAAAGGCTTGTTACAAGGAAGATGCTGACCTCTTAGCAGACAACAGAACAAATGGAAGTGGAAAATAAGTAGCATAATAGCAAGGGACAGTTTGGGTAACAATTTTAAAAAAATCAATTACCAAGGGGTAACTAAGCTCCAGGACAGGTTAGCAACAGAAACTGTAGCCTCCTATCTCTACATAGAGTTTTAAAAACATTTTGGGGGCCAGGCACGATGACTCATGCCTGTAATCCCAGCACTTTGGGAGGCTAAGGCGAGAGAATTGCCTGAGTCCAGGGTTCAAGACCAGCTGGGCAACTTGGTGAGACTTTGTCTCTATAATAAACCAAAAAATTAGCTGTGTGTGGCAGCTCATACTTATAGTTCCAGCTACTTGGAAGGCTGAGGCAGAAGGATCACCCGAGCCCAGCAGGTCCAGGCTGTGGTAGCTGTGAGCATGCCTCTGCGCTCTAGTCTGAGTGACAGGGTGACTCTGACTCACAAACAATAATAATAATTTGGGGGGCCAACAGTTGAATGAATTCTAATATTAAAAACCTATAGATTTTTTAGTAAAAACATCAGCTTTAAAAGCACTCTTATAATAAGACTTTCATTCATCAGAGTCAGTGAAATGTTCTCCCTTTTTTGACAGGGTCAAATAGAAATTGATGATCAGGTGGAAGGACTCCAATATCTAGCTTCTCGATATGATTTCATTGACTTAGATCGTGTGGGCATCCATGGCTGGTCCTATGGAGGATACCTCTCCCTCATGGCATTAATGCAGAGGTCAGATATCTTCAGGGTACGTGACTTCTTATCCTACTTATTTTTGCAGTAAGGGTAGAATTTTCGAGGATATGTGAAAATGCTTATTTTCTGAAGATTTATAGAGTTGGCAATATTGTAGATGTTTGGGTTTGTGTGTTTAAGGGCCATGGGAAACATATCTCCATCTCAAGTGGTTTATTTCTATATATGTATGTTTGTGTATGTATATATAGGTATATATATTTTAAACGCTTGTCAATTTGTTGACCCGTTATCAACTATTTATAGACATATGTCAATATTTATGGGAGGTGGTTATGATTAATAAAACACACTGTATTACATTGCAATTACTTGTTTAATTGTTGGACTGCAAGCTCTAAAGGCAGGAACCTTTTTGCCCTGTATACCACTGTAAAAAAAAAAAAAAAAATACAGTCAAGCACAATGTTTGGCACATAGTAAACCTGTGTTGAAAGAATTGAATTATTAAATATATAAATGCTTAAAACCCTGTAAAATTATTTTATTTTTAAGAAAAAAAAATATGACTGCGCAGTGGCTCACACCTATAATCCCAGCACTTTGGGAGGCCAAGGCAAGAGGATTGCTTGATCCCAGGAGTTCAAGATCAGCCTAAGTAACATAGTGAGACCCTGTTTCTACAGAAATAAAAAAGTTAGCCAGATGTGGTGGCATGCACATGTAGTCCCAACTACTCAGGAGGCTGAGGTAGAAGGATCGCCTGAGCCTGGAATGTCGAGTCTGCAGTGAGCAGTAATCATGCCACTATAGTCCAGCCTGAGCAAAAGAGTTGGACCCCAATTAAAAAAAAAAATAGAGTTCTTTTTTCGTGCATGTATATTTGGATAATCTTTATAACTACAAGTAAAATCTGAAAACTGTCATAATATTATTAAGCTTACAGCTGTCAAGAAAATAATTTGAATATTTAAATATGAAACTGCGTAAGAGCTTCAACATTAGGCATTTTTAGCACATAAATATATTTCATTCATTGTTTTAAATTCTGTACTGCCAACAGAGGCTAAAAAAACAGAAGTGGCTGGGCTCGGTGGCTCAGCCTGTAATCCCAGCACTTTGGGAGACCGAGGTGAATGGATTACCTGAGCCCCCGGGTTCGAGACCCACCCGGGCAACTTGGCGAGACCTCATCTCTACAATAAATAAAAAATTAGCCAGGCATGGTAGCGTGCGCCTGTAGTTCCA